ACCGCTGAACTGCTGATCTAGCAGTAGCCTGCAGTGCTGCATTTAACCACTGCGCCACCTCGGCTCTGAGAGAGCAAACCGGTAGTGAAACCGGTACAAACCCACAACTGGTAGGCTCTAAATGAAATACTTAGTAGGATTTGGGATTTCAAAAAATATCTATAATGCAAACATTGAACAGTTTTTCCTGTTCAATCATAGTGCCAAACTATACTGTATAAATATTATGTTGCTTTTCCCCACCCCTCCACTGTCTCTTTGAGGAGGAACATACATGTGATTAACTCAAACGAATTAAGTCATTGATTAATTTCTGGGGAAAGTGCCTAAATTTATGAAGGCAACTGGGAAATACATGCCATTGTCTATCCATAAGCTTATCAGTATCGTCAACACATTTTCTCTCTCCCTCAACACTCTGTTACCAATAAAGACCATATAGTTTGTAGCAGAGGTGGGCTTCACATAATTTTACCACTGGTTCGCTGCGCACCGAACTGTGAGCGCATGTATCTTCTGTGCATGTGCGTGGCCTTCTGCACATACACTTTGCTCACACACGCTGCTTGCATGCAGTTTAGAAAACGTGGCTAAATAGGACAGCATAGCGCCAGGGGGAGACAGGTAACCCCACCCGCAGGTCACCACTACCAGTTCGCCTGAACCAGTCCAAACCGGCTGAATACCACCACTGATTTGAAGCCTTTAGTCTGGATAGCAAGGACTATCAGAACTATCATTATTCTAGTAAGACAGAGTAACTGTCTGTGAGAATGACCTTGGGAGACAGGAGGAAGAGCCACCGCCTTGAGAATAATCATGCATAAGGTATCTCAGTCCACACAAGGAAAGTTGGCATGGGAACATCTCAGAAGGAACCCTCTTCTGGAAAGTAAAAGGGGCAAAAGAGCTTTCAAACTATTAAGATTCTGTTATTATAGCTTACAATAAGGGTTAACACAGGGGTGTCCAACTCAAGGCCTGGGAGCCAGATCTGGGCCATGGGGTATGTCAGGGTTCCAAAGAGTATCCAAAAGTAAATCAGAGTCCAAGACAAAGGATTGCTCAAAGTTCCAATTTATTAAGAGAGCCATGTTGGCACATCTGGGAAAACCTGAATCTGAAAGCTTCCTGGTTTTCCCCAACCAGTTGAAAGTTCAAGATCTTGCCCCACACCCACAATTCCATAACATGATCCAGTCTTCCACTGCCATGCTGGTAGTTCCACCCATCCAGTTCCGGTCAGGTGCAGAGGTGCAAAGACAAAGGATTTGTCTTTATAGAAAGAATTTTGTTATGGCTACATTGCATCTAACTCTGTACAATCCCCCTCTCCCATTTTCCCATAATAGAAAATGCATAGTAGAATAATAGAAAGTGTGGCAGCCCATTTTCACTGGCAGAGCACTCAGGCCACTACAGGTGCCCCCGACATGAGTGACATCAAGCTCTCCCCCCACCCCACCCTACCCCCCGAGGTCAAACACAACCCCGATGCAGCCCTCAATGAAATTGAGTTTGACACCTCTGGGCTGACAGATACTGTTGTGTCTATCCTGCAATGACCAAGTTAAACTAAAGACCTTTAATGAGGAAAAGCTGTCAAGGAAGCAGGTATGAAGGGTTAATAGTTGCTGGCAGAAAGATGCCTCACCTCCTCCATCTTTTCATCTGTCCCCTCAGGAGGCGAACGCTGAAAATAGCAGAAGGCCTTCACGATCTGGGCACTGTGCGCTGGGAGTTGGCTCTCTGCCTCTTGCTGGCCTGGATCATCTGCTATTTTTGCATCTGGAAAGGAGTCAAATCCTCTGGCAAAGTAGGAGTTACCCTATGCTTGGTTAATGCATAAATTGATTTGCTCTGTCCTGTCACTCTTCTTGCATCGGAGAGTAGCAGGATAAAAGTATGCATGGAATATACCAGGGGTGGGTTCCTGCCAGTTCTAACCTCTTCTATAGAAGAGGTTCCACAAATCTACAGTGCTGTTTAGAACCGGTTCCAGCTCCCCCACCCCGCCCATCCGCACATCATCAAGATGAAGAACGAGAGGAGGAATTCTGGGAGTTGAAGTCCACAAGTCATAAAGCGGTCAGGTTTGAACACCCCTGGGTTTTTTTCTCTCTAAAAGGTTAGGGGTGCAAGGGTCTTGTAACTTGACAGCTTTAAGACTTGTGTGCTTCAAATGCCAGAGTTCTGAGCCAACATTTTTCTTGCTTAGCAAGAGTGTTGTTAAGTGAGTTTCATCACATTTCACAACTTGGCCACTCCCAGCCTGGTCACATGGCCGGCAAGTCACTCCCACAAAGCAGGCCACACCTACAGAAGAGGTTCTAAAAATTTTTGAAACCCACCACTGGAATATATGCATGTCTTATGTGGAGTGGGAATATTAGAAATACTTTGATCCATTTTAGTTGACATTAAGACCTGGGAAAAAGTGCAAATTAGAGCCCCATCCATAATTCTTATAGCAATAACTTTGCAAAAAAAATGTCATTGCCATCAACCTTCCTCAATTCTGTATCTTAAAATGTTTCAGGTTACAAATCCCATCACAGCCAATAGTGTGGTACACAGTGATAGGAACTATAATCCCACATATGGGAGAGACTCCAGGCTGGAAAAATGGACCTAGTCCATAGTTGGCTCACATTGCCTGGTCAAAAGCTGTAGCTTACACCTACATTAATTTCAAGATTAGTGCATTCACTTGTGAGAATTTTTTCAATAGGAGGTGACAATGGTTACTACATAGGAAAATTTGTGGAGGGCAGATATACCAGCATTTGAGGTATCAATAGGTCTGTAAAATTCCTGTAGAACCATCTTATTCTAGATTTTACTAGTTGTTGGAAATCAAAGGCCTCCAGCTTCTGGATTCCCCAGAGCCATTAAAGTGGCTAATATTAGAAACTTACTATTGTTGATGATACATCTAGTCCTGTGATGGCAAACCTATGGCACACATGCCCGAAGTGGCACACGGAGCCATGTCACCTGGCATGCACGGCATTGCCCGTTCCTCTTCCGGCTTTCTGGCGCGCATGTTTGTGCGGTGATCAGCCGGCCTTGGTGCATGCGGCACAGGGGTGGGTTTCTCGCCCCGTTCCAACCGGTTTGGTTGGAACGAGGCCGGCGGCGTCCTCGCGCATGTGTGCGGCGTCCTCGCGCATGT